TACACAATCGCTGACTGTACTGTAGGTGCAGTCAGACCACGATACTGCGCATGAGTCGCTGTCCGTCGTGGAAGTTGTGGCCATCATCCTCTTTAAGTGTTTGTCAGGGCTGGCTATATCCAGTGTGGCAGAGGAAAACCACCCCATAGGCTCATGAGAAGAGGGTCTTGTCTTAAGGGAATTGCATTCTATTGTACCATTGCACCACTGATACTGTAGACATTGTTGCTGAGACTGAAACAGGATCTCAGTGCTGGACCTCACCCCTTAGAGATCCTGATCTGTTCTTCGTGTCCACATGAGAACATCAGATTGGGGCATGCTCTCCTCAGTGTTAACGCTGTCAAACCCTTCCAGCCTTATACTGCGAATGACAGCCCTCTTCAATTAAGCGCAAGTTTATACAACTATCAAATGCTAAATAAGCAAGGTGCTGTATCTATTCTAGGAAAATGAAATGTGCTGGGATTCAGTATGGCCAATGTTCCATTCACCAGAAGGCTGTGTTTTAAGATTACAATGTGGTTCAAGGTTGCAAAACTGACAGTTGTGTGTGCGATTCAGGATTAACCGTGTCAATTCATTTCATCAAATCCAGCATGTTGTCATCTTTCTGACAGCAACAAAACATTCTGGTGACATCACTTTTGGGTGTATGCTCTTCTTAGCAATGGTCCTCTCTTCTATTCCCGTAAAAAGACACAGGCCTGAACATGCAAAGCTGTATCGTGAGGTATTATGCTTTTCTAAAGCAAACAGTGAGCCCTTTTCAAATGTTATTCCAGCTCTCATTTATAGGGGAATAATTACTTTATTGTTCCTATTAGGGCATGACATGATTCCTTCACAAAAATTTAGAAAGAACTCAATTTCCTCAATGCTGTACAAAGAGAGAGCAGTCAGAATAGGCAGAAACATAGAAACACAGAAACATAGAAGATAGGAGCAAGAGGAGGCCACTTGGCCCTTCGAGCCTGCTACACCATTCATCATGATCATCACTAATTGTCCAACTCAACAGTTTAATCCTGCTTTCTCCCCATAACCTTTGATCCCATTCACCCCAAGTGCTATATCTAGTCACCTCTTGAATACATTCAATGTTTTGGCATCAACTACTTCCTGTGGTAATGAATTCCACAGGCTCACCACTCTTTGGGTGAAGAAATGTCTCCTCATCTCTGTCCCAAATGGTCTACCTCAAATCCTCACCCCTCTTTCTGGACACACCCACCATCGGGAACATCCTTCCTACATCTACCCTGTCTATTCCTGTTAGAATTTTACAAGTGTTAATGAGATTCCCCCCATTTGTCTGGACTCCAGTCCTAACCCTTGTCAATCTCTCCTCATATGTCAGACCTGCCATCCCCGGAATCAGCCTGGTAAACCTACGCTGCACTCCCTCGAGAGCAAGAGCATCCTTCCTCAGAAAGCTTATGGTCACCGGTCAATGTAGTGTGACATGTTGGCTCAGTGGTTAGCATGCCTCCCTTACAGCAACAGGGAGCTGGGTTCGATTCCAGCATCAGGCTGTGCGGAGTTTGCACTTACTCCCCTTGTCTGTGTGAGTTTCCTCTGAGTGCTCCAGTTTTCTCCCACAGTCCAAAGATGTGCAGATTAGGTGGATTGGCCATGCTAAATTGCCCATGGTGTCCAGAAATGGTTAGCCATGGGAAATCCAGGGTTACAGTGATAGGGTTGGTCTGGGTGGGATGATATTTGGAGGGTCTGCGTGGACTCCACAGGCTAAATGGCTTGTTTCCACACTCTAAGGATTCTATGAAGGGTTCTATGCAGACATCAGGATTTCTACACCTACACAAGGTCCTCCTTCTCAACAGGCTCATGAATAGGGCCCTGATGTTCAGCGCTCACAAGCTTTCTACTGAATTCTGCCCCAGAATCTTTATAACTAAGCAGTGAGGAAGGAATGATCACAGGAGAAATGGAAGTGGTGACTGGTGTGTCGCATGAGAGACACAGAGAGAGAGATGAGCAGGAGACAGAGAAAAGCAGAGACAGAGATACAGTGAGACAGAAAATGAGACAGTGAGGGACAGGGAGAGAGAGGCAAAGAATGCAATAGAGTGAGACAGAGATTGAGATTGACTGAGGACAACAGACAGAGGGAGAGAGAGAGAGGGAGAGGGACACAAACAGAGAGAGGCAGAGTGAACAAGAACAACACAGAGAAAAAGTGTCACAGACAAAGGAGAGAGACAGGGAAATGGAAACATAGAGAGAACCGGAGAGTGCAATAAGGTGTGGCAGGAATTGAGACAGAGACAGGGAGAAGGACACTGAAGGACAGAGCATCACAGAAAAACAGAGAGAGAGAGTGAAAAGGGAGATGGACACACAGAGAGAGGCTGAGAGTGAGAAAGGGAGAGACTGAGAGAGACAGGCAGACATAAAGTGATTACAGAGCCAGAGTGAAACAGGATAACATCAGGAGAGCAAGGTACAGAAATATAGAAAGGGAGAGACACAGAGAATGTTGGATAGAGGGAATGTGGTAGAGAGAGAAAGAGAGAGGACACAGAGAAATAAACAGGGAGAAACAGAGAGTGTGATGGACAGAGAGAATGTGGTAGAAAGACAGAAAGAGAGAGTGAGAGTGAGAAAGACAAAGACGTGTAGCGATTGGAACCAGGTGGACCTTATTGACTGCGAGGTCCCTGATTGGGGCTATTAACCTGAGCCAATCAGGTCAGCCCTGGCTGACCATTATAACTGGGGGATCGCAGGCCACCGTCATCCAACTCCTTAAAACAGCTGACGCTGTGCACCGTTTGGAGGATGCTCAGGTGTGCGGTGGGATCCCGTCTGCGCGTACCCCTGCCCATTTACCGCCAGGCGGCGGGGATCCCCAGTGGAGGGCTCTCTACGTGGGAGAACCCCCCCCCCCCCCCCGCCAGCTTTTCCCTCAGGGGTCTGGGGGTGAAGGGTGTTGCACGCTGCGGTCCCATGTAACCACAGATTGCGGTGGTTCACGGACTCCCAGTCCAGCTGTCTGTTCTGCGGCTGCAGAGCCCGTGGACCGTGTATGTATTGCGTGTGAACGCTCTTCCACTCCTTTTTCAGTTTTTTTTTGCGTGTATTTCTGGCTGCACTTCAGCCCCACGCTCCTGATCTTTGGGAACACAGTGGGTGAGGGTGTGAGCTTCTCCCTCGTGGGTCTGCTCCTGGGGCCTGGCCAAGCTGCCCATTAGCAGGTCCAGGCAGTGGGCCGTGGAGGGGGTCATTATGTCCGACTGTCTTCCATGGCTGCGTCCGCGCCCTGGAGAAGGAGCACACACTGTCCCTCAATGCCTTTAGTGACCGGTGGGCCCCGGGGGGTGTGGAGCGCTTTATATCCCCCTTCGAACTCTGTTTTAACACCGACCCTTCCCCTCGTTTTTTCTTTCACACAGGCGGTGCCCCGAGGGGCTCTGCTTGATACTGATTCTATGGTCACATGGGTGTGTTTTTTTTTTCCCCTGTTAATAAAGTTAATTGAAAAAAAACAACTAGGGGATTTAGAATCTCTTCATTTCAAGGGATTGACTCCGAGCTGGCTAATCACAGCCGGTGTAGTGTGCACAAATGAATATAGGGTGACTTATTGACAGGAAACCGGCCTCGTGCAGTTATTTCAGGAAGACACAGAGATATAGACAGAGAGAGAGAAATATAAGGGGCAGATTTATAGGCAAAAGGCAAAGAGAAACACGAGGCTCTGAGACGCAGAATTAGACGCGGATCGAAACATAGAGAGAGAGTCACAGAGGGAGAGACAAGGAGACACAGAGACAGGATAGAGAGACAGGGAAACCAAATGAAAAAGAGTGGCCATTGTGTTTCTTTCTCATTAATACGTTCCTGGAAGAGAGAAAGTCACAGGAAAGTCACGACACTTCGCCCAGTCTGCGAGATTCTGCTCTAAAAACTTTACAGAGAATGTCCCTCAGATTACAGACATAGCATCTAGATGTGACAGGCAAACCAGACAAGCAGGAACATGTTCAGACATGTTGTCGACAGCAGCATTTCTAAGAAACAAATTATAGAATATTACAACAGAGTGCAAATATTCCAGATTCAACCAACAGGCCATCACTGATTGGCAGTTATCAGTCAAGCAAGTGACACTGAGTGTAACAGACAAGCACCATGCACTCTCTCTATCAAACACTCCCAGCACAGGGTTAGAAACAGGGCAAAGTTTCCTCTATGCTGTCCCCATCAAACATTCCCAGGATAAGGACAGCACTGGTTTAGATCCAAAGTAAAGCTCCTCTACACTGTCCCCATCAAGCACAGCTCAGGACAGGGACAGCATGGGGTTAGATACAGATAAAGCTCCCTCTTAACTGTTGGAGAAAGTTCTCAGTAAAAATGTAGAACAGCACCCTCTAGTGTATCTTTTACTGGCTAATGCTTTCGTTTCTTATTTTGTTCTCTTCGAAAATTGTAACAATGCAAAGTGCAGTCATGTCTGTCCTTTGCCCATTCCCATGTATGTGTGTGTGTGTGTGCATGTGTTTTATGTGCATGTGTGTGATTGTGTCTGAATGTGATTGTGTCTGTGTGTGTGAGTATGTGTGTCTATGAGTGTGGGTGTCTGTGTGTGTGTTTTGTTTTGGGTGGGGGTGTCTTTCTGCGAGAGCAGCATTTGCCTTCCCCAAAACAGTGTCTAGGGAACCATTTACATTGAGTTGAGAAGAGTGGGGACACGGAGTTCTCACAGTGATACAACTATTGGGAAAGCAGCCCCTTTCGTGGGGTGATACACTGAAGGTATCAGCTTAAATTTAGGGCTCACCACACTCGGGGCTTGGCTTGGACATATAGTGTTCCACTTTGGAAACGCAGTTCCAACTGTTGGGCAGCATCCGGAGAGTCAGAGCACCTTCGGTTTCAGAATCTAGCTACTGGGAAATGGACAAGAAAACCAACTCCTCTTGCATTCAAAACCCCCTCCCACAAGTGACAACCATCAACATCGGAGGTGGGTTTTATAATTTTTTTTATTTTCGAATCAACCTGCTGGAGCAGGTGGGACTGTAACCAAATTCCATTCTCCACCGGGGAAGCACCACCTTTGGTATTCGGCCCTCTGTCCCTTCCTGTTCCCTCTGAAATCTCACAAATACAAATGGAAAATCTTCAGGACCTCTACCTCGGCTGTTTCCAGGTTGGGCAGCAGGAGAGCCAAGGGGTAGAGTTTCTCCTGGAAGTGATCGGAGAAGGTGTAGAGATGGGACATATCGGAGCCGTTGTAAAACGACAGCTGGCCTTCATCGTAGTCCAGGTAGACCCCAACCCTGTCTGGCTTGCCCTCGGAGCAGCACAGGGAGCCGGAGCTGCCGTGGGCGGCAGTGTGCACTTTCCCGTTCCACAGCCGGATGGTCCAGAAGCCGTTGGCGGGGGTCAGCGGGACGTCGTCGTTCCTGTTCACCGTCTCACTGGCCGCTCCGACGATCCAACCGGACATGTTCTCCAAGTCCAGCTCCCAGTAGTGCCGGCCCGAGGCGAAGCCCTCATCCCCCAGCACCGAGGCGCAGAAGGTGAACCTCTTGGCGCTCTCTGGCAGCTGCTTGAACCTGGAGCGTCGCTTCACCATGGTGTGATCCTTGGACAGGACTAGGCTGGGGTTCGCCGTGTCCGGGTCGAAGGCCAGAGCAGCTGGCACTGCGCACAGACACAGAGCAAGTGAGAGACTTATTACCATCTGAGCACACCTATAAGGAGCACAGCGAGAATAGGGGGAGACGCTCCACTCAACACGTTACAGAGTTGTGAAATTAGTTGGGATATAGGAACAGGAGTCGCCCACTCAGCCCTTCGTGTCTGTTATGCCATTCAATGAGATCATGGCACAGCGAAAGTGCCACACACATACTCACACGGACACACACACTCTCACAGACACACATACACGTACACACACACATAGACGCTCACACACACACAAACACACGCACAATCATATACACACACTCATACACACACATACAACCCCCTGACACACACATACGCACTCACAAACGCACACACACTCATACACCCACACACTCATACAACCCTCTTCCCCTCCCCCATTTCTGAAGAAGGGTCTAGACCCAAAACGTCAGCCTTCCTGCTCCTCTGATGCTGCTTGGCCTGCTGTGTTCATCCAGCTCTACACCTTGTTATCTCACACAAAACCCCGGACTGTCTGTTATGCCATTCAATCAGATCATGCCACAGTGAAAGTGCCACACACATACTCACATGAACACACACACACATACACGTACACAATCACACAGACGCTCACACTCACACACACATACACACACACGGGCACATGCACAATCATATACACACACACTCATACACACACATACAACCCCCTGACACACATATACGCACTCACAAACGCACACACAATCATACACCCACACACTCATACATACAAACCCCCCGACTGTCTGTTATGCCATTCAATGAGATCATGGCTGATCTGTGGCCTAACTCCAAGTACCTGCATCTGGACCATATCCCTCACAGCCTTAGAGCACAGCACCTCGCACAATCAAATAAGCCAATAGAGTTCCCAATGGAGCATGCTTTACAGCATTATAATGTAAAAACTATGGCAGCTAATCTAGGCACAGCAAAAATGCCACAGACATAGTCATACAGTCATACACACACATACAAACCCCCTGACACACACACGCTCACACATACACTCACAGATGCACACAATCATACACCCACACACTCATACAGACACACACAAACACCCTGATATGCACACATGCACACTCACAGGCGCACACAATCGTATATACGTACGCTCACATACACATACAGACACACACACTCATACACACATGCGCACACACTCACAGACACACACACACAATCAGACACACACACACAGTCAAACATACACACACACTCATACACATGCACAGACACACACACAGACATTTACAGACATGCTGGAGAAATTGAGTGGGTTTGGCAGAATCTGTGGAGAGAGAAACAGAGTTAACCAGAAACAGGCAGCCCATGGGATTGAGGGAGGGCATTGGGGTGCATGGTGCGATGGGCAGAAGAATAGATAATGAATGATCTGAAACAGAAACTCGGGGAAATAACCTGCAGAGCGATATGTGGAGGTGCTGGTGGCTGACAGGACTGGTTTGATTGATCCAGAGAAATGGCATGGATTTGATGGGCCGAATGGCTTACTTTCTGTGCCATGAAGACCCTCCGCTGCTCTTGAGTGCACGTTTGATGCTGTTTTACATTCACCTGAGGTGTTGTTGGGGGGGATGGCTTGGGTGTGTGGTCTTGGATGGTCTGAAATGAGGCACCTCTGGCAGTACACCACACCCCATGTGCTGCAGTGGCAGGATCTGCCTCGATTTGCTGCTCAAAGCCTCTGAACCCAGAGTGTCGCACAGTCCACAGTGCCACTGAGTGAACTATGGCCAACACCTACACAGGGGAGTTGCATGACAAAGGCTGGTGAAGCAGGCCCAGTGAGTTCCTAGAGAGTTGAAAGGAGTTTGGTATCCAGTGAATGTATGGGTGGATAGGTGATACCATGGAAATAGATTCTATCCTTCTTTTCTGCATGTAACTTTATTTTTTAATTAGTTAGGCCTCAGGTGGGCTTTAGGTCTTGTTTCTTGCTTCACATAACTGGACATAACACTGTAGAAATGCACTGGCATTAACTATTGAATCGAAAACCACCTGCATCGTAAGGCAGCAGTCATTTACCCTGAGGCTCTCTATAAACTTCAGCTGGGAATAAACTAGAGTGGCAGCAGCTGAACCTGCTGATTTTGGAGCTGGTTCAGTTTGACGTAGAGTGTTCGATGGGCCGCTGTGTAAACGGTACCCCATAAATCCGCAAGACCAAAGGAGTTACCTGGACTGACGACGTTCAGCATCCGCTTCCATGCTGCATACTGCAAAGGCCCTTTAAACTCCCCCAAACTGAGATCAGAAGGCTGCAGGATTGGCTCGTTGTGTAAATCAGTTCTGAAAAAGTCAGCAACACGATTGGGTAAGTCAATGTGGGACATCTCTTTACCAGCATTTCACTGGTGTTGTACTTAAATGAAAGCATGGGGTTTTTTTGGTTCATTATTCAATCATGGTGATGTGGATATCACTGCCTGGTATCCATCCCTAATTGCCCTTTAACTGAGTGGCTTGCTAGGGCCATTTCAGAGGGCAGTTAAGATTCACGTACATTGCTGTGGGGGTCACAGGGCAACAGGGTTCCTTCCCCGAAGGACATTAGAGCCGTAGAATTCTATAGTGTGAAGGGAGATGGGTTTGGGTAGGGATTCGCCATGGGAAATATAGGGTTTACAGGGATAGGATAGGGGGATGGGTTTGCGTAGGTATGCTCTTCAGAGTGTCGGTGTGGCCTCGATGGGCTGAATGGCCTGTTTTCACACTGTAGGGATTCAATTCCTTAACTGGGCACAGGGGTGGGTGAACCACATGAAAGAAGGTATTCAGGTCCTAAAATTATTGAGCACTAAATGCTGTGGGTTCCCAAGAGGAAAATGAGATGCTGAAGCCCACAGTGCTGTTTGGGAGAGAATTCCAGGATGTTGACCCAGTGACAGCGAAGAAACAGTGATATATGCCCAAGTTAGGAAACTGAATGGCTTGGAGGGGCACTTAGAAGTGACGGTATCTGCCTCTCTTGGACTTCTAAATGGAAGTGGTTGTGAGTTTGGAAGATTTTTTTTATTCATTCACGGGATGAGGGTGTCGCTGGCCTAACACCATTCATTGCCCATACCTTTTTGACCAGAGGGCGGTTAAGAGTCAACCACATTGCTGGAGTCACATATAGGCCAGACCAGGTAAGAATGGCAGTTTCCTTCCCTAAAAGTCATTAGTGAACCAGATGGGTTTTTCCAACAATCAGCAATGGATTCATGATCATCATTAGACTCTTAATTCCAGATATTTATTGAATTTAAATTCCACCATCTGCCATGGCGGGATTTGAACCCGGGTCCCCACCACATTATCTGGGTCTCTGGATTAACAGTCCAGCAGTAATACCACAAGGCCATCACCTCCCCAAGTCCTATCTAAGGAGTTTTGAAGTTAAAATTCCTACAGTGTGGAGACATGCCATTCCCTCAACAAGTCCACACCAACCCTCTGAGGAGCATCCCACACAGACACATCCCCATCACCCTCCCCTAACTCTATAGCCCTACTTATTCCGATGGCTAACACACCTAACTACACATCCCTGAACACTAGGGGTAATTTAGCCAATCCACCTTACTTGCAAAACATTGGACTGTGGGAGGAAACTGGAGCACCCGGAGGAATTCACGCAGACACAGGGGAGAATGTGCAAACTCCACAGACATTCGCCCGAGGGTGGAATGGAACTCAGGTCCCTGGCACTGTGAGGCAGCAGTGCTAACCACTGAGCCACCATGCTGCCCAAGGCAGGGAATTTCTGCAGTGCATCTTGTAGATCGTACACACTGTTGCTACTGCATGTCAGTGGTGGAGGGAGTGGGAACTTCTGGATGTAGTGCCAAACACATGGTTGCTTTATCCTGGATGGTGTCAATATTCTTCAGTGCTGTTGGATCTGTACCCATCCAGGCAAGTGGGAAGAATCCAACACACTCCTGACTTGTGTCTTGTAGATGGTGGACAGGCTTTGCGAAGTCAGGAGGGGAGTTACTCACCGCAGTGTTCCTAGCTTCTGACCTCCTCCCTGAAACACACAAGTTAACACACACACACACACACACACACACACAGACACAGATACACACAGTCACACAGTTATGGACACTTTTGCAGTTTAAATAGAGGGATGTTTTATGAAGTTACCTACCTTTGAAGAATACTCTTGGTATCCTATATACATAAAACAACACAATTAATAAACTGTTCACAGCAGTAAGGAAAAAAATTGACACAAATAGATATTTATAGCCTGCTCCAGCAGAAGATTCAGAATTCTGTTTTGGAACTTGTTTTAGACAGTGATTCTACTATTCAAATATTTAACATGTGTACAACTCACCCAACCTCCAGAGTAAGGGACTGAAGATAATACTAATCAGCTCAGAGAAGCAGGCAGGGAGTCAATGTACCTCAAACAGCACTGTATGCATATCACCCAAACAAAATGTGTGAGCAACCAAATATTACTGTATGAATACCACTGTAGTGATTGTATTGAGGTCAGTGAGGTAGACCTCATAGAGTATGAGGTCCCTGATTGGGGCTGTTAACTCGGTCCAATGAGGGAGCCCCAGCTAACAGGATATAAACAGGAGTGTCAGAAGTTGTGTTCACTCTGAGAGTTGGCTCTGAGGGAGTTGCATCAGTGTCAAGGACTTTCCACATGGAAATAAAGGGTGACTTAGGGCTGGGAAACCAGCCTCTGTGGAGTTATTTCACTGGCAATCACAGGAAAGCGTGCCCCGGAAGAAATTTGTTCGCAACAGTCATCTTTGAGTTGGGGTAAGCATTTGTGGCATCATGCTGATATTTGGGAAGCTTGACTCATTCAATCCTGCTGTTGAAGACTGAGACCAGTATGTGGGAAGAGTGTGTTATTTTTTCCAGGCAAAAGACATTAGGGCAGATAAAAAGCAATGGGTAATTCTTTTGACAGCTCGTGAAACCACAGCTTTTTTGGTTACTAAGAACCTAACTTTCCCTGAGGCACCAGATACTAAAACCTTTCAAGAGTTGATGGATTTAGTTGAGGAATATTACAACTCCAAGCTTCCTCTAATTCTAAGAGGGTATTTTCTCGACAGTTCAAGAACCAGGGGAATCCATGTTAGGATTTTTGACAAGGTTAAAACAACTGGCAAAGGCATGTGACTGGTTTAAACCTTAAGCAGATGCTGAGAGACCATTTGGTATGTGGGATTGATCATGCAATCATGCAAAAGCTCCCAAGAGCTGAAGCCCAACTGGACTTCAAACAGGCACTACAACTGGCCTTATCATTGTAAAACGTGGCATGTGGAGCAGACAAATTGCAGAATATTCTGATGGAAGTGGACATTCTTGCCGGTCTGACTGAGCTTGGGGAATACCACTTGAGTGAAGGCAATTGCATAACCTCATTCAGGACGTACCCCAGAACATTATCTGGGTCTCTGGATTAACAGTCCAGTGATAACACCACTAGGCCATTGCCTCCCCTGTGGGAAGCACTGTGTAATTAACACCCTAACAGCACTGTGTACTTACCCCCTAACAGCACTGTGTAATTAACTCCTAACAGCGCTGTGTAATTATCCCCTAACAGCACTGTGTAATTATCCCCTAACAGCACTGTGTAATTATCCCCTAACAGAACTGTGTAATTATCCCCTAACAGAACTGTGTAATTATCCCCTAAGAGCACTGTGTAATTTCTCCCCCATGAGCACTGTGTAATTTCTCCCCCTAAGGGCACTGTGTAATTGCCCCCAAACAGGGATGTAGAGAGATCTTCATTCACATGGAGTGTGGTATTTACAATCAGGAGCTCACTAGCATCTTCCCCCGGGCTCTAACAATGTGCAGTAATTGCTGGTGTTTGCCCCGATACCCTGCCCTTGGACTGCAGTTTGTTTCCCTTGCTTTAAAGAGCAACAGTGCTCACCATCAATAATCGGTCCTGATCGTCTGTTTGGATCAGACAGTTTATCTCAGTGATGAACTTCTCGATGGAGCTGCTCCTCTTCGAAATGAGATGCAGGTTTCCCTCCAGTGAGTGCAACAACTCCTCTGACTTCTTCCTCAGTTCCTCTCTCAGCGTGCACTCCTGTTCCTGCAGGAACAGGTGCAGTTTGCTAAATTCTGCCTCAATGTTTTCCTCAAGACCCTTCACCAGCTCCTGCAAGTGAAGAGGGAGTGGATTGGTGAGTATACGCTCACAAGATGCAAAGAGATGGACTATTTAGACATAGGTGGAGTATTACACAGCAGCATTGGCAGGGAAGGGGGTCTATAGTCCAGTGCTAACATTCAAGGATCAATAAGGTAGAAGCAAACTCTGTCCCCATCAAACACTCCCCATTCAGGGACAGCATGGGGTTAGATACAGAGTAAAGCTCCCTCTGCACAGTCCCCATCAAACACTCCTAGGGCAGGGACAGTACGGGATTACATGCAGAATAAGGCTCCCTCTACACTGTCCCCATCAAACACTCCCAGGACAGGACAGGGACAGCACGGGGTTAGATACAGAGTTACATCTTGTCGACATTCACCCTATCAACCACGTTCAGAATCCACGAAAGCAACAATAATTTTTCTAAACTCTGCTGTGTATAGGGCCATACTGCTCACCTTTTCATCATCCCAGGATCTACAGAGTGAACGTGCCCTGAACTATTTCCAAAAAAAAATACATTCTTTGCTTATTAATTTCAGTTTATGAGGATCGGTTGAATAGTTTGGGACTGTGTTCTTTTTTGGAGAGAAGAAGATTGAGAGGAATTTTGAGTGAGGTTTTTAAAATCATGAGTGGGCTGGACAGAATAGGAAGGGAGAAGCTGCCCCTGCTCATGAAAGAATTAAGAATGAGAGGGCATTGATATAAAGTGGTTTCCAAAAGAAGCAAGGAAATGTGAGAAAAATCTGTTTTATTCACCGACTAATTAGGGTATACAATGCATAAGCTGATGTTTTCCCAGCTACCATCAGTTCTGAGGAAGGGTCACCGGACCCAAAACGTTAACTCTGATTTTTTTTTCCTTCACCAGATGCTGCCAGATCTTCTGAGCTTTTCCAGCAACTTCTGTTTTTGTTACTGATTTATAGCGTCTGCAGTTCTTTCAGTTTTTTATACAATGCACTGCCTGGAAATGTGGTGGAGACAGGCTCAATTGAGGAATTCAAGGGATTACTAGATAATTAGCTCGATCGGAGTAATGTGCAAAATATGGGGAAAGAGCAAGAGATTAGCACTGGATAATAGATCCAGTAACAGGCACTTGGGCTGAATGGCCTCCTTCTGCACTAGTTACTTCTGTAACTATCCTGTGATTCTGTTTAATATTGAGACTAAAGCTGTGCACAGCACCCTAGGTCTGACCTCACCAAAGCTCTGTGCAATTATTGCAAGTCTTCTCTACTTTTATTTTCCATTCCCCTTGCAATAAAGACCAATATTAAATTACCTTTCTAAACTGCTTGCTGAACCTATATACTAACCTTTTGGAATACAAAAGTGAAACACTTGCATGCTGGAAATCTCAAATAAGAGTAAAAAGAACAGCTGGAAGAAACCTCAGCGGTGATGTTTTTCTTTTATACTGCAACTTATACAAGGATGCCCAGATTCAGCTACACTGCAGCTTTCTGCAGTCTCTCTGACTTAAAATGATTTAATTCAATTTGATTTGTTATTGTCACATGTACCTAGGTACAGTGAAAAGTTTTGTTTTGCATGCAGTACACACCGATCATACAAAGTGCATTGGGATAGTAGAACACAACGAGGATTACAATGTCTCAGCTGCAGAGATGGTGAACCAAGATTGAAATCAACATAAAATTTAAAATTTGAGAGGTCCAGTCAGAAATCTAATAACAGCGCAGAAGAAACTACTCTTGAATTTGTTGGTTCATGTGTTTAAGCTTTTGTATCTTCTGCCCAATGGAAGAAGTTGGAAGAGATTATAACTGGGGTGGGAGGGGTCTTTGATTACACATGATATTGCTTTGTGATTGCTGTCTGCCAAAGAGGATGACCTCATATTATACTCCATCTGCCAAGGTGTTGTCCTCATCCACAGCCCCTCCTGCCCACAACCAGACTTACAAAAGAAAAGACTTACCATTGTCTTGGTGATCTTGATTCCCTGGGAGACCCGTGCTTCGCAAAACTCCTCCAACTTCCTCTCAAGGAATCTTGTGGAATTCTCCAACTTGTGCTATGGGGAAAGCATACAGAACTTCATCAAACTGTGGCTGACCTGCACTTTAATTTCAATTACCCACCTTTACTCTCATTCCCTTCATTCCTGTTTGATCTTTGCCCGGAGCCTTGTTTGCCACCTATAAATTGGGAATATTGTTCTATCTTTATGTATCTCTAGCTGTAGGTATCAGCACTTACACACAAACAAGAAACAAGAGCAGGCCAACTATCCACCTCCTCCATTCAATAAGATGGTGGCTGATCTGATTTTAACCTCAACTCCACATTCCAGCATATCCCCGACTAATCTTTCATCCCTGACATTGTCCCTGTTACCTCTTGCTCCCTACCTGTAAGTAAGACTTGTCATCTCCTTGTGTACTACAAGACTCCTTGATTTACACCTGCACAAAGTAGGTTACCAAATACAACTCTCTAGTGCAATGTCTAAGACCTCTCTCGGTTCAAATCCTTATTCCAGGTTGATGTCTTCTCTCTCACTGATTTAAGAGTCATGTGATTAGTTACAGCCTCCTGGTTTAGATGAATCTTCTTTTACCACATTAGCCATATCCAACAAAAATTTCTCCATCCCAGTCTTGAAATTAGCAGTTGGCTTCCAAATATCTACACTAGCTTTGGGAGAGGAAATTCTAGGTTACTACTATTCATTGTGTGAAGAAATGTTTCTTACATTCATTCCTTCACACATCAAGTGCTATCATTTTAAGGGTGATGTCCCTTTAAGAAGATCAACCTGCAAGTCGGCTAAGTTCCTAGATGTCATTACACATCCAGGACCCAAAGCCATGATGCATTGTAGTACCCTGGACAAAGGCTGTGTCAAGATAACAGTCTGCATTGTCTGTATTAGCTTTAGCTGTAAATGAACCCACCAGAGATATTCAACTAAATGGAATCCCTGTGTCTACTTTGCATTACACATAATACCACAAGCAGTTACTACATGGTGGATTTGTCTCTTTAAAAACAATCAACATGATGTGATACAGATTGAATACCCTGGGGTGATAAAGCAGTCAAGATTCAAGAGCATTTCGGAAGTGAAAGACCCCACAGTACAGAGGGACCTGTAGATATATGCTTTGATTGATCAATGATATGAAGCTCTGCAACATCATCACAAACTTTCTCCAGAGTCCTACAGCCCTTACACAGAACACTTCGCAGCTTTCTTCCTCCATCATCAACACTGATTAACAGTTACATGCATTCTCAAATGATATACCAAGATCATTCCCTTTTTCACAACACTTACTTTTATTTACATTTATTGTTTATGTCTCTGGCCCTTCCCCTTACTTTATTCATCTGTTTCGGTAGGTGGGTCAAGTATGCCAAGGTATAAGAGAAAGGGAAAACCAGGTGATTTTGCACTTTCTCTGCTAGATTCTGTTAGGCCAGAGATTCAGTTTAGCTAGGCTGAAGGAGCTCACAAGTTGGTTATGTTTCTCTTTCTACCAACACCCTTTGTAGATTATTTTTGGATTTAATGGATCCCTTGCAGTATAATCTTTCTTGAACAATTTTCTAATGCTATATCCATCGTGATTTGGTCTGCTCATTCCAGAGCTAGACTCTCTTTTAGTTTGAAGAAGTTCAGTAATTGACTTATCTAAGAGGATAATAACATTACTGTTTCAAATGAACTCTTGTTGAAAGTTTCCATAACTATAGGTATCAGATGGTTTCATTGATGATCTGTATGTACTATCTGCAGACTGTCCTGGGAGTTAATATCTGCTACTGAAACATGATCACATCAGAGTGCTATTTACTCTGGAAGTGAAATATTGATCAAAACTTTTAGTAGATAGTCAAATGTTCCATCAGCCTGTTGTCTGTGTAACACATGATCTGATGTTCTTCCTACGCAGTCAAGAAATGTCCTAACCTGTAGAGTATTTTATTTAGTGCCCAATCCAGAAGCTAATTGAAATACTAGGAATTGGGTTTTCCACATCTGCCAATTCACTGATTTATCACATTGATCTGGTTGCTCAAATCTTTCTTGTCAAAACAGTTCCAGTTTGTTGCTGATTAATTTCTTGATTATTTTTGAGGATAATATTGCTAGGATTTCAATCTCCTCCTGTGATGCTCATTTTGCTGTTTTGTGCTGTTGCGGTGTTCCTCTTTGATTAAAGTTGTTGTCAAATCCTTATTGTTGTGAAGATTGTGGTTGTAGCTCTAAACCGAAAAGCTATTAAATTTTCGATTGTTCTAAATGCTGATTTCAATGTAAAGTTCAGATTTTGCTTTACCAACCGTACGGATACTCCTTTCCACGGTGCCAGAAGGATTTGCAAAATATGTGCAGGAAGGACATTCTCAAAATCACTCAATAAGATTCAGTGTTTTATTTTGGTTATATCAAAGATGTCTGTTGTGACATCAATCAATCTGTTTATTTTTCTGTGTCTGAGGTATTTTAGCACTGAATTCGACATCACATAATCAGATTAGTGTACCTTCTCTTCATCCAAGTTTCTAAAAATATTTTAATGAACAAAATTCATTGGTTTCCAAATAAAATTTGAATTTATTGTTCAACTTGTCAAAATTACCAAGATTTAATTAATTCTACAGTGAGGTACGGCAAACTTCAATAATTATTTTTGTTCCTGATCTTTATTCAATTGATTTCTTTAAGTCTGGTCTCTGAACAATATTGCTGATGTTGTCACAGAATATATAAATTAGACAATTGTTAACACACCGTTGGAGGTCTTAACTTTGATCCTCAGCCTGTTTTTTTCAGTGAAAATGAAACTCTTTTGTCTTCTCCCTTTGACAATCAATTTTGCTTTGGTTGTCCACTAATCAGTCTCTTTTTGTGGTGCTTGATTTAAATTCATTCCCTTACCTGGTTGTGGGCTGTTACTGCCCTCACTTTTCTTGCAAAGGCTCATTTCCCTTATTACTGGCTGCAGAAGGTGCTGGCAGGTCTACAATTTTCTGGGGTTTTGAGTGGTTTTCTGTTCAGAGATGCTTTCCTCACAGTAGTTTTTCAGCTCAGTGACAGTTCTGACTAGCTGGTTTTACAGCTGTTCCAATAGGTACCTGCAAAAATGATTTTTTGTGTTTCCTCCTTCTCTAGACAGTCTCGGGTCTGTTTCTTACTTTTTACTATGCCATGGTTTTCTCAACAGTGGAGCTTATTGCTGCAATCATCTTTTATCTAAGGTGACACATTGTGAGTTTTGGTTCAAGACAAACTACTCTATGTTCTTTGTATGTCCATGTCTTTCAGAGTGCCAGTCTTTTTTAACCCACGCTGTGCTATTTCGGCTCAGTGATGTGCAACTCAGCTTCCTGAAGCCATTATGCGACACTTTCCTCTTCAGATCATGATCCAAGTCTGTTTTGAAAACCAAGACTGCATCCACCTCCACCATACTCCCTGGCTGTGCATTGAAGATGCCAAACACTTGCTGCACATTGTCACGCAGCCTACAAACATCAGCCACTCATAAAATGGTGAGACAGTAATCAAACAGAGTCTCGCTGAGGCTTCAGGAATCTCACTCGCCAGCTGGGGAGCCAACAAAAGGCCCGCAACAAAATCAGAAATTGCTGGAGAGAAAGCAGAGTTAATGTTTCGGGTCCGGTGACCCTTCTTCAGAACCCATTCTGCCTCTTCCAGAGAAGGCCCATCAAACCTTATGCGAACCAGGCAATGGCAAGATCATCAAAGGACAGTACAGCACAGGAACGGGCCCTTCGGCCAACAGGCCTGTGCCATCACATGGCATCTTTCTAAACTGAAACCTTTTGCCTTTCTACACAACCATATCTCTCTATTCCCTGCACATTCAAACATCTGTCAAGATGCCTCTTAAACGTTGCTATTGTATCCACCTCCACCAGCTCCTCTTGCAGCGCATTCCAGGCACTTACCACCCTCTGTGTAAAAAAAACTTGTTTCACATCTCCTTTTACCTTAAACCTAGGTCTCTGAGTAATTGGCATTTTTACCCAGAGTGTAAAGACTCTGACTACCCATTCTATCCAGGCCTCTCATAGTTTGTAAACATCCAGCAGGTCACCCCTCGCCCTTCAATGTTCAAGTGAAAACAAACCAAGTTTGTCTGATCTCTCCTTACAGCTAATACTCTCCAAGCCTCGTACCCCATTTCTGTACCTTCTCCAAAGCCTCCACGTGCTTTTTCGTGGTGGTCAGAACTGTGCACAACATTCCAAATCAGCCCTGACTAAGGGTCTATACATTGTCCTACCTTTCCCTCGATCGAGACCCCAGGCTTGGGCAGACAGACACCATCAGCTCCCACGTGCTCAGCAGTGCCCTGGAAGAGGCTCTGTTGAAATAGCGCCCTGCCTCTGAGATTCAGAGGTTTCTGGATGTGGGAAAATTATTGGTGGAGTGGTTGGGGGAGCAGGCTGGTGTTGGCGCTGAGGAAGGGAGGGGGAGGTCGTATTTCTGGTGTTGGGGCTGACAGGGAGAGAATAGGAAAGAGTGGGATTGTTCAGAAGCAAGGGGGAACATTGTGCCAGCAGCCCCAGTGTCCAATCCCTCCACCATCCTATCGATAACTCGCTGACTGTCCTCTAAACATTCCATTCTTTTCTTCTGTTTCTCCTGTGCTTGATTCTTTTTCAGTTTCTCTCTCATTTTGTCACGCCATCTCTTCCCTGTTCTAATTTCTGATGTATCTGTGAACATTTCCAATCACACATTATGGAAGATTTGATGTTTGATACAAGAGGGCTCAGGGTTTGATACAGAGTGAAGCTCTCTCTACACTGTCCCCATCAATATGTCCAGGAGAGGGACAGCACGGAGTTAGATACAGAGTAAAGCTCCCTCTGCACCGTCCCCATCAAACACTCCCAGGACAGGTACAGCACAGGGTTAGATGCAGAGTAAAGCTCTCTCTACACTGTCCCCATCAAACACTCCTGGGACAGGGACAGCACAGGGTTAGATACAGAGTAAAGCTCTCTCTACACTGTCCCCATCAAACACTCCTG